CCTCTTTGGTCGTATGTTCTGCGGCATATCACGATTTCAAACTGTTCGACTTCGCGAACGAGTTTTGGCGTCAATCCTCTTGGCATGCCTATACGCGGGCACTCGCTTGCAAAGCATCGCCAGAGAATATTTGTTTCGAAAAAGAAAGTTGGAAAGTTTGGCGGCTCGGTGGCATGGCTCATCAACTGTTGAGCATTTTTTCATGCCATGGCTGCGGCCGCCACGAGACTTTCGTGTATAGACTAGATATGGATTCTGGGAGACGTGTCTGAGTAGGCACCGTCTCGGCAACAACCTTGGCGTCGAGTACGAAAACAAAAACGGGAACCAGGAAAAACACCGGGCTTTAGAGAGACTCGAAACACGCGGTTTCTTCTGGGTCTCTGGTTCACAGCACCATAGGACAATGACGGTACCAAAAAGGCTTCGATGGGAAACGGAGGCTCCGGGCTGCATTGCGCGTGCATCGCAACATGTACATTTGAGTAATTTTGTCAGAGTATCGGCTGGCGATTGGGAGAGGAGGAATGGAAACGGGCTTTTCTTTTGTCCTGTGCCTTCGAGCGCATTCATAGCCCTGGGTATGGTTGTTGTCTTTTTTTACATGTTTCTTCTCTTGTGAGGAAATTCTGCATGGTAACCGTATTCTACGTGTTCACCCAAGGATCAGATAGATCATCTCCTGGCCAGACTGCGCCTGTTCCCTTTGTCATTGGGAAGGTTGCAATCTTTTTTGGCTCATGATTCCATGACGAAATGGCATGATAGTTATGAACTTTTCATTAAAAATTCACTCAAGGTCCCAAATGTTCAAGTGTGATTGCCGTTTGCCTGTCTCAGCCTATCTACATCGTCTGTGAACTGGACGTTGCTGTGGCCCTTGACGAACCTCATGGGTAGAATAACAGCCTCGAAAAGGACGGTTCATTGCAACGTGACAAGTTGTCGTGAGGATGGGTAGGTAAGATGGTTCATCATTCATGAGAGGCTTCTCTGCAGTTTACTTCTACGTAAAAGCTCCAATCAAGTATCGGGTTCTCTGCCTTTCCCATCCGCCCACCCAGGTATGCAAAAGCCGCAAACGCCCTAATTCTAAATGTCTCTTTACCATTGCGCGGACGGGAAACGTGGAATTTCTCCCCACCCACCGCCTTGTTCACCTCCCACCTTCCTCCCGCGGAGCTTGCGCCGACTCCGCGAAATCGCGTGGCTATGTTGTCTTAGCCCTGGAAGCCCCCCCGAACCCCGAATGCCTCGCTTGGCCCCCAAAGCTTCCCTCTAAGAATCAAATACTCCGTACTGGCTCTGACACTGGAGTCGGGAATGCGACGTTTTTCGCGCGATCGAGATCACGTTGCGGGTGTGGGGCCGGTCAAATGGCACTCACTTTGGGCGTTCGTTCTCATTCCATCTGTGCCGTGTCCTAATGTTCAGCTTTGATTCGGATCCAATGCCAGTTCCCTTTTTGGCCCCAAAACTTTTCTATTCAGCTTTCCCATGTCTCGTTCTCACAATTTCCACACTTCAAGCCCTCGAAGTGTTTGCAGAGGCCGTCGACGTGGTCTTTGTCTTCCTTCGCGAGGGCTGATAGACATCGTTGAAATTCATGGCGACACCGAGGAAACGCATGTCAACGTCCGGCTGGTACGCGAGGTCGCCCAGCAGGATTTGGAGGCGGGTGCGGAACGTGGCGCCGAGCTGGCGCAGACGGTCCTGCAGGACGGGGAATTCTGACGCGACGGCCGGGTTCTCGTCCTCGCCATCTCCTCCCGGCATAGATTCCTTCTTTTGGTGGCGCGGCCCGCGGGTGGAGATGCGCATCACGTCGGCCTCCTGCCGCCGTGTAAAGTCGGACACGCTCCAGCTGTAGAGGCCGTCGACGGAGTCGCGGTAGCTGAGCATGGCGCGCAGGAGGTCACCGAGCTGAGACAGGTATGAGGTGCGGTCGTCTTCGCCAGTGGCTATATCAGCGTGTCGGACGCTACGCCGCGCGCCTAGGAGGCCTTTGTGAGTAATGTCGTTGAGGTATCGAGTATGTGCTTTGATGAGGTCGTCGAGGGTACAGCCCTCGCGATGTATCCGTTTCTGAAGCTCGTTCCAGGACGACTCGATGACTTCGAACAAGATGTAGTATTGTAGCTGGCCAATGAAGTGAATCATCTCTGCAAGAATGCCGCGCGTTGACTTCCACGTTTGCACAACGATGGGGTCGGAATTCTGAAGCACCCCACGTGAACCTGTCATACACTTGCGCCAAGTAGAGGCGAGGGCAAATTCGACACGCTTGATGCGCCATAGAAAGTTGAATACCTTCAGATATTGGCGGTTGCCCCAGTCGGTCACGACAACGTCGACCGGAGCATCAACCTTGTACTCCAATGTAAAACAATCCCAGCCAATATCGCCATGGGATAGCTGAAGCATTCGGGCGTCAAGGCGGCGAAGGACTTCAGGCGAGTCGTACTGCGCGTTGGACCCGCGAATGGCGTGTTCCAACTGAGCCGTCAAAGTATGCCTGTACTGTGCGCCGGCAGGACGATCGAGGTTCGCGGCGAGAGATTCCATAAGAAGGGCGATAAAGTCGCCTTGTCCCAGCAGAATGTAATTCTTCAACGCCTGCAGATGCTCAAAAAGGTGGAATTTGTTGGCCATGAGGTCTATGAGACGCTTCATGGTCGTCTTATATGCCTCATCAATCCAAGCCTCGAGGGTTGCCGTGTCGCCATAGCGCAATTCCTTCGAGGCCGCCTTGGAGTAGTCTTCGACCCACTGAGAGTCACCGCAACTGTGTCTGATAAAGTTGAGAGATTTGCCAATGAGGAAGACCTTTTGAGCAAAGTCTTGAGTGATAATACTTGGGACCATATCCTTGTCGATTTCGTACTTATCTTCCCACACACTGTTTCCGCCCGTCTTTGGCTCGTCCGTTTGCTTCTGTTCTTTGACAAAGAACTCGCAGAATGGGTCGAGTAGCTCGCCATCGTATATCCACCGACGCAGGATATCGTAAAAAGGGCGTGTGACATGCACGAGTAGGCGTTCGGCAAATGCTGCAACCATGGGGTCACCATGCGAAGAAGAAAATCCGTGTACGAGGGAGATGAGTTGTCCACCTCTTTTACTTTCTGACTCTTCGGCAATGAGGCTCATAAGCCGCAGCCCCATCGTAGCTTCCCGCGTCCATACTACACATCTCTTCAATGTGACGCCTGCCTTTCCAATGCCACCTCTTGGAGCGGATTCGTCTAGGGAAGACAAGGCTTTGCGAATTTGACCCTCCAGAGTGGCAACGAGGCTGAGATAAGACCGCAACTCCCCGCCTATGGCGGCTCGAATACTTTGTCTCAGCAAGCCCTGTGCGGGAGACTTGACAAAAACATCGAGACGTCGGTATAACAAAGACGGCTCGGCTACCGTGTGGAGGAGAGAGATGATCGGAGATGGTAACGTCGGGGGTAAGGTGATGGTGTCAGGCCGCGAGAAGGGCAAGGTAGTCGAAGATAATCCTTGGAGAGTAAAGGGAAGATCCCGTAAGAGCACCGTCTCGGAAGGGTCGATCTCGACGTAATTATCAGCCAGCAAGGTAGACTTCAAGTTCACTTGTCGCTTGTCCGTTTTAGCGCCATCTGCCGCCTTCTCCTTTTCCTTTTCTGAGTCCTTCTCTCTTTCGTCAATAGACTTGCTGTTCTTATTGTGATTTGGGGGAAAGTTCTTCAATCCCTCTGGCGCAAAAGCATCGTCGAACTGCTCTTCTTCTTGCCTCGATATCGGTGTAGAGTTCTTGGACGATCGTTCTCGTTCATGTTTCCTGAACGGGTCGCGCTGCGTTTGTGGAGGTTTCGGTGGTACGAGGGGCAGCGGCTCGCTTGGATCGGGGGAGTCACCGAGCTGATAGAGGAGGTAGAGGATAGCCCATTTCTGGCCCAAGACTGGTAAGGAGAGAAGACGGGTGTAGAGGTTTGAGAAGCGCAGCGCTTGGCTTGGGTTGCTCTGTATGAGCTTCCGCTTGATCAGATCGGAGGCGTGGTTAACGTCGGAGGAAATGGCGGGGGACGCGGGGCTAGAGGTTGACCGGTCAGCGACATGGCATACAAGTGGTCGAGAGATGCTCGACAATTCGCAAATGGGTTTAAGACTTACGCATCCAGAATTGACTTGACCAGCTCAAAACAGTTGTCGTGTCTTTCCTGGGCTGCAGCATCGTCCTCGTGAGGGTCGTTGGGTACCAAGTGTGCGATTAGGCTGTCGACGGCACCGGCAATGCGATGCTCGCGGTTGGCGGACATGATGGCATTGCCGAACACTGACCACCTCGAGGTTCAAAGACAAGGTGAAGCCTTCTTGAGTGGGCTGCCACGGCTAGTGGAGAAAATGAGGTTAAGCTCGAGGTGAGGAGCAGAACATGCGCCGGTCGTTGTCATATATCGCATTGATTTCGTTGTTGTACTCGCAGCATTACAGCCCGCTGAGAGAGACGCGCCGGACGCGACCTCACAGGCTCATAGTGTTGCTGATGCCGATTGCAAGCAGCCTACAGGGGCTCACGACGGAGTGGTCAGAGCGCCTGCGGATGTATTCTGAACCCTTGTGCCTTGCCAGCTCACATACTAAATTGTGGTCCCCGCTACTTCTTCCCCAGGCTCGGCCCTCCCCTGGCTTTCGTCGTCAGACAGTTCGGCAAAATTTCATCGACAAAGCAGTGCAGCACCTCTCAATCGCATCCCGTCTTCCTCCACTGTACGAAACGGAGCCGGACCCAACCACTGGACATCACCTCCGACCTTCGTCATCACGTCTGCGCCCACAACATGCCCCGTTCATCGAGATAGTACCGAATTCGCGATCGCATTGTCGCTCTCCTTCGTTCTATGCTACTCATGAACATCTTTTCCGCCTTGCGCCGAGTCCTGCCCGCCGCCGCTGCTGCTGCACGCGACTGTCGCTCAGCTCCACTAATACGCTCGACGACGTGATCTGCCTGTCTGGCATCCCGTGTCGCAATGCCCGACATCGACCCCGCGGCCTTGAGCAGCCGCCCATCAGTAAATCTTTCCACGCCGACACTTTCCACCAAGTCCATCACTGTCCAACCTCCGGGCTCTCTCAAAGCCGCCAAAACAAGTCAGATCATACCTGCCCGCATTGACCTAGAGCCGCTTTATACCGCCTTGAAGCAGGCCATCGGCCCGGAAGCATGGGTCATCTACAAGGAGTCAACCACAGAGTTTCTCATCGGTAAGCAACTCCGGATATCCGCGCAATCATCACTCGCAAACTAACATCCGCTCCTAGGTCGATTGAATCAGACCGAGTACTCAGAACGAATCGATCCCATCCTCACATCCCCCAATGGCGAAAAGGAACACCTCCATAATCAGCTAATTGCTGCAATATACGGCAATGTCACAAGGGAGATGCCCGACCAGGGGCTCGCCCCTTGGGTCAGCGCCAACGACAAGCCCACCGCTCCCGTCGGCAGTAAGCCTGTATCTGGAGATGCGGCGGAGCGTCGCCTTAAGGGCGATGTGATGCAGTTGCCCACCAAAGATCGTCGGCGTATCAAGGATTTGGTCGGAAATGACGTTAGTACACGTCTCAAGCTCTTTAAAGTTCGATATGCTAACGTCGAGGTTCATCAGTTCGACCCCTACGAGAGCCTCTCCAATGTGTTCATGGATCACCATCGACGACAGCCCAAACCCGCCGACGTACCACCAAGCGCAGGAGGCATTGGTGGTATAAACAAGATGAGTGAGTGGAACCTTGGCTTACTGGTAAAGGTCGAGTGCTGACTGAGTTGAAGACTTCGATTTGGAGATACGCAAGCGCTTTGCGCAACCCTTGGCTGGGGAGTCTGGCGAGTTCCCCGATGCCCCTGTAGTCGAAGGCAGAATGCTGCCGTTCTGCTACGAGGCAGGACTTACTAGCGGTCACGTTCAGGATGCGCCACATTTTATGACAGTCGCGACCGAAACATTCATCAAGGAATCACTGGCCGCCATATTTGCCAAGACGAAGAGCAATGGCCCAGGAGAAGGCGCCACTGCTGGATTCGGAGCAGGAACCCAATGGATCCAAACCCACAAGTACCGACACCAGCTCGTCAAGGAGGAGGACGCTGCCCTTCGGGGTGACCTCACACGCGATAAGAGCGGCCTTCTACCTATTGAGTCGAAAGCAGCAAGCGAGCGTGGACCCCTTGGCATGGCGGACGTACGCATTGCCTTGGAGATGGCTGATAGCGGCTTGGCGCAGTTCCCGATCATAAATACGGCCATATCGTATGGCTACCGTGAAGGAGAGCTCGAGAATTGGCACGACTACACCTGGCTACCAGGCCTCGAACCTCCTGGAGCCAAGAAGGAAGCTTCTGATATCAAACCGGTCATCACAGAGCAGCTACCCAACGGCCATGTCGATGCAATGGACATTGACTCGGAGCCCTGGTGGGAAGGTGCAGAGCCTCAAGACATGAGCTCCCTTGACTCTGTTCTCGATTCGTGTCTGGCAGTTGGATCATAGTACGGACAACCACCAACACGGTCATGGGTTGCTAAGAGAGACAAGGTCTACGCCAAGCGCTTTCTCAAGGGTATCGGTCCTGTCTACAAAGATTGGGGACGCTTGTGGGGCTGGAATAAAAGGTCACTTCGGTCACGTCGAAGCCGAAAGGGTTGATCGAGGTGTCATCTTGACACTGTCGAAGATCATGATTTCCAGCATCGAGCTTCATAAGCATTGGCATCAGGCAAGGCGTCATTGGGTTTTTCGCTATTTGGCAAGTTTGGCCGGTTTTTTCATCGTTCTTTATCCTGCATTGAGGGATAGAGGAGGGCGGCATAATTTGTGCACGCTCTCGTTAAAGTAACAAGGGGGGCAGGGAGTTCGCGGTTGTTTAGCAACGGAAGGGTTCTGTACAGTATGGACGATACCCTATTGCTCACTTCAAGTGAGCCACATATTCGGAAGGTGGGCGAAAGATAGCTCTAGTCAGTGGAACGTTATAGACGAATTTATGTAACATTATCGGAAGTTCCCAATAGGGAGCCACTTGGAGGTTGGTGACTTTGTTTCTTCCTTAGTAGTCATGTCACTTTGAAGCTATGTAAACCCTCTTAACCTGTGAGTGCCCCTCCATAATAGGAACAGTACCTCTTGTCAATAATCCTCTTTCTATAGCTTTGCAATCGAGTCGCCAACTTCTTTCTTGGCCTTTTCTCTAAGAATCTTTCTCAAGATCTTACCAGACTGGTTTACACTGTTAGGCTGATTCTCACACAAGCAATAGTAGAACAAGACTTACGGGGTTCTTGGGAATCACGTCGGTAAACGACACACCGCCTTTGAGTCGCTTATGCTTAGCGACCCGACCAGCCAACCACTCTGCAATCTCCTCCTCAGAAGCATTAGTATCAGCTGACCGGACGATATATGCCCTCGGCAACTCTTCTCCGTCAATGGTAACCCCGATGACGGCAACATCGGCCACGTCTGGACGCTCAAGAAGCAATGCTTCCAGCTCAGCTGGGGCCACCTGGTTGCCCTTGACTTTGATGAGCTCTTTCATGCGGTCGACGATGTGGAAGAGACCGCCCGTGCTATATTCCTCGATGTAGGCAATATCGCCGGTCCGCAGCCAGCGGTTGCCTTGAGCATCGGTGACGATGGTCTCGTTGGTGGCCTTGAGGTTACGCCAGTACCCCCGCATGACAGTCGGGCCCGTGATCAGGAGCTCGCCGGGGACCTTTGCCTCGGTGACCTCCTTACCGGTCTCAGGGTTGACGAGCTTCCCCTGGCAATTGGGCATGAGTTCGCCGACGGAGGCGCTGCGGATCAGGCGGTTCGGATCCCACGTCATGGCCGTGCAGGTGACCTCGGTCATGCCCCAGCCCTGGCGGACGATGAGGTCCTGCTTCTTGAGGATGCGCTCTGTTTGGCGGGCCACGTCGGCAGCAAGGGGCGCGGCGCCGGAGCCGACGGTCTCGAGGCTGCTGAGGTCGAACTTGGATGTGATGGGGTGTTTTGTGAGGGCGACAAGGATCGGGGGCACGCTGACGAGCTGCGTGACGCGGTACTTTTGGATGTAGGTGAGCATCTTGACAAAGTCGAAGCCGGTCATGATGTAGACGGGGATCCCCTGCTTGGCAAAGTTGGCGACAAAGTACGTCTGCGCGTAGGCGTGATAGAGGGGCAGGAAGCAGAGGCCGACGGAGCGGGCGACAGTGGCCTCGTGGTCCGGCTCGAGCGCCGCGACTTTTACGACGCCGGTGCCGTTGGCGACGTAGCTGTAGTGGGAGATCTCGACGCCCTTGGGCACGCCCGTCGTGCCGGAGCTGTAGTTCAGGCAGCACGTTGTCGTGCGGGCGTCGGCCGGCTCGACCCACTCGAACGTCTCGGCCCGCGCCCGCGGGGCGATGAGCTCCGTCCAGTGACGGGCGCCGCCCCGCGCGGGCTTCTCGGGCGCGCTGGATCCGGGCACTGTGGTGTCGAAGACGAAGACATTGCTGGCGGGCATGGAGACCTCCTTGGCCGCCTCGAGGGCTGTGTCAAGGCTGCCCTCGGCGGCGACCATGAAGGTTGCGCCGCTGTCCTTGAGCTGGTAGGCCAGTTCGCGGGGCACAAAGGTCGGGTTGGCGCCCGTGAAGATGCCGCCGGCCATGAGGACGCCGAGGAATACGACGGGGAAGAAGAGGTTGTTGCCCGAGAAGAGGAGGACGCGGTCGCCGGGCTTGAGGCCCGCCGCTTGTAGGCCGAGGGCGATTTGCTTCGCCACGAGGCGGTAGTCGGAGAAGGTCAGGAAGTGGGTTTCTGGTCTGTCGGCGTCATAGAATGCTTTGCGATCGGAGAGGGAAGCGTTGGAGGAGCCGAAGATCCATGTCTGCAGCGAGCAGTTCGGAATGGGCTCCGACCACCGTGATTCGATTGGCATGTTGGAGTAGAGATGTGTGGTTTGGTTCAAACGATGGCTTGTCGCTGGGCGGGTTTTCAAGGGGAAATTACTACCCTAGAAGAAGATAAGGATATAATTCTAAACGAAGCGTGGCGTTTGTGAGGTAGGTCTGTCGTTTTTTTTTTTTGGAGATTCAAGCGTGATATGAAGCTCTCCCCGGATGCGGGACGGAAGGCGAACGGACGCCGTTGTTTGAAGGGATTTGCTGCAACAAGGTTCTGAGCTTCTCTGGTGATCCCAGTCCTTGTTTTGGCCGCGGCTCGTCAGTTTGGGAAAAAAAGAATATGATATTACTGAACTTGATTGAGTCAGTGATCGTGAGGGGTGTCTCTGTGAGAGAAAGGACAGGACCCGCAACTTACAGTTTGTCTTATCACAGAGAGAATCTGTCTTCGTCTTTTTCTTGTCTACAAGGAAAGAGGGAACAAGTCAGGTAGCAGCCGGCAGACGCCCAGTTGAAATAAATACCACCAAGACCACGAGGAGACGGGGAAGACGGCAATTCCAAAGTGGATTTCTCTCTAGTCTCATTATCACTGCATGCCTACGGATCCCCTTCCAGGCGAAGGAGCTCCAGACGAAACCCCAGATAATCGACCCCCCGCGCTCCTATCGGCCAATGTCCGGGTCCTTTCCGGCGAGACCTTGGATTACAAGTGATGCATCTAAACCTGGGGGGGAGCACCTCCAGGCTTCGTGACGCTAGATCTCCGCATCAGACCCCTGTCGATGCGGGGGTTCTGAGCTATGCGTCTGGGCAAAGCTGGGGAAGATGGGAGAAGAACCGAGGCATGGCGGGTAATCCGTACGCAGTAGTACGAGCTACCGGAAAAATTGGGGGTTGAGGAGGAGCAAAGCACGGCGTAAAGACCGGACGGACGACGACACGTCTTATTTCCTGAAAGGGTTTCCATTTCGTTCAACTTCGCGATTGGGTGCCACACCCACTCACTCTTGTCTGATAAAGGTCTAGGACGAATCGCGGCCAAAGACTCTGGACGGGGAGGGTACCAACCGATCCCAGGCAGTCCAGGCCCGGAGACTCGCTTGTCCAAAACACCGAGATACAGCGAGTTGTGCTTTCTTGTCTTTGTTAGAGTCCAGAGCTCTCAGTTCTGCAGTGAGTTGTCTCGGACGCTGAGGTAGATAGGGCCACAATTGGGCAATCCACTGCCGGAATGGCGAAGAACGTGCGCGAGATCTTCCAGGTGTTCCACTTGATGTCATTCATTGACCTTGTAAGCGGACAGAAGCGGATACCGTTGTGCCCTCTCTTGTGTGTATCTCTTGGCGAGCTTAAACTGGACGTCTCGTCAAATGGGGATATTCTCAATCGAATCATTGGATCTGCGACTACGAGTACCCCAAGATTATGGTTGCACGAGTTTTGAGGCTGGAGTCAACCTTGCATTGGCCAATCGCCGCCGTTCCAACAGACATTCTGGGTGATTTTGACAGCTTCTCCATCTTTATAAGCAGACTAATCCAGAGACGGCCAACGTCTTGCTTTGGAGCCGCCTCTCTCCGAGGTAGAGGTTCGGCTGTGTGACATTGGCAGCGTCTGCAAGAGATGGGGTATGTTTTAGGTGCTTATTGTTTCCTTAGTAGTACGCCAGCCTCTGTTGGCTTCACTTAGCTTGCCTCATCGCTGTTATGCTGGGGTCTTTGGTCAATTGCCCAGGCCAGACCGCAGCGAATAAGTACCTGCAAGAGCTGAGATAGCTGACTATGCCGGTGGCCTTGGAAGCCACGTCATGACTGGGTAAGCTTGCCAAGGCGATCGGTCATATTTTTATAGATTTCAGTCTGCTTGATACTGGGAGAAGAGTAGAAGAGTTATCCGCAGGCCGTCAACACATTACTCCCCCGTATTGGGAACTACGAAGTATCGGGTAGGGAGTTAATTGCTTCCAACCTGGCCAGAGAAACGCTAATCGAGAGCCATACCTCAATCAAAGGCTGCACCATTTGCTACAAAGGCCTCTGAAGTTGGTGCCCGTCGCATTGTTGCTTGGTGCGGAAACTCGTATACAATTGACGGATTCCTGGTTCAGCTTATGTAGAGATAAAGACGCTGACAAGTTGCATCCCAAGGATTGAACAAGCAGTCGCCAAATTGCCCAGCCAAGGAAAAGGTGGGCCCCTGCATAATCCATATCATGATCGAATTGTGTAAGTTATGCAAGTCTCAATGACGCTTACTCGTCGACCTTTTGCCTCCTATGCCTCCACAGACCCAGAGCATTACCTAAGCACGTAGTAGCCGGCTCGACCAATCACAGCGATCCATTATCCAAGCAGAGCTCACGACTTTTGAACCTCCCGAATCTAAACGAACAGCACATATCCGCAATATCTCAAAGCCCAGCGTCGCCTGTCCCCCTCGCCCTCTCGCCGCCATCGCCAATTGAGCAGCCACCCACCGTCCCTCGCCATGGCCTCCAGACTCTCTCCTCTCCTCTTCAGATCAGCCCTCCGCTCGGCAACGTGTCGGGCGGCGAGGCCTCAGTTCCGCGCCTTCTCCCTCACAGCCGTCCGCCCCAGCGACACCCTCCAAGTGGTAAGCCGCCTCGCTTTCCGACGTCAATTGTCCTTGTCGCAATGTCTCGAGGGCTCTCCGATATCCAGAAATTACTACAACTAGATCGTGTATTCCGAGTCAATTGCTAACGCTCTTCTGTTCGATCAGCACCGCGACTCCCCGAAAAACAACGCCGATGTCCCCTTC